GGGACACGCATACGCATCTTTTGGGACACAAAAAAAGGTAGCCGAAAGTGGTTGCCGGGAAAATGGGATTCTGTACACTCTACTAATATTGCTCTTTGGTAGCATTTGGTACGGCATTACGAATATTCTTACCACACTCGTAACACTGTGCTGACGTGTCATCTTCTATTTGCATTTTTTTACCACAACACCAGAAACCCCGAGGCTTGGGGATGTTAACTTTGAATCTTAGGCAAATCGCACAGAAGTCATTGGTGAACTTTTCACATTCATGCATCGTATATCCAACAAATATTTTAACCTCCGTTTGCGGTACCCAACACAGCAGCAGTAAGGACACACCGCGGGAAATCCCRTAAATCTGCTGTACCCGCGTGCTTAATTCCGCGGGTTAAACCCGCAAATATACGGCATCGATCGCGAGTCCCCCTTACTGCTGCTGAATACGCAAATTCAAAAATATTATTGTTAAATTCATCATGCAATCAATATTCGTTCTCTTTTTTGACTATATATTTAGCTTTTGATTCAGTTTAAGGAATGACTTTTTGGGGTCATTTGTCATTGCAATTGCTCCCAATCGTGATGTTACACTGTTACACACTTACCTTAACTGTCTGCCAGACATGGTAACGAGTTAACATATACTGATTGCTTAAATAGAAAATAATAAAGTCTTATTTTGTTCTCAAATGATTATCAATGTAACTTCAATGCCTTTGGCTATCACTCTGAGTCGCGATAAATCGAAACTGTAGCTGTTTTCCTATTCAGGGTCAAATGGTTTCGAAGTTTCTTGGAAATGTTTTTCAATATCAATGAATAATGTATGTCGCTTGCCTGCTAGTGGTTGGTGAACCATACACACGGTGTAATTATATTGTTTCGAGTAACGTTGCATCGCGGGATGTCCAACGTAGCATATTTATAACATTAAATCAAAGGTAGCCCAAGCTATGTTTCTTTGGTGCCATATTTAATTAACAAATGAGAAAACGTATGGTGATACTTAAAAACCTTAATAAGATCGTCAAAGTTCTTTGATTGCACGTTACATCATCGCAGCCTCTCAGGCGAGCGTTGGTGCCATTAAAAAAGATTGATTAATGGCATCTATTGTTAACGGCACCACTATGGTAGTCATGCTTTTGTCTTAGGAACTCTCTTAAGAACGCTTGTAACCCATCAATAAAAAGTAGTACCTCTTTCGTCATGTGTACCTAGATCTTGGATTTACTGTGAGTAAATGCATTCGAAGTTAATTGATCATCTAGATTTTTTCTAGATTTCTCGCGCCACATCATTGGAAGAAATTGCGTATAGCTCAATTTATTATTAAACCAATACGTGATAGAACAAAAGAAATGACGCACTTCTCAGTAACAAATTTAAAACTCAAAACTTTGCTTGACAACTTCGTTGGCAATAAGGCTGTTACCCTGGTTTCGAAATTCGAGGAAAGTTTGCATAGATTTGTTGGAAGAGCGTTATGAAGTATCCGATAAATCACATGATTTGCATGGTTTATCCACAGGGAACCCAATTAGAACAACGTTTATGAAGAATATTTTAGGGGTATATTTATTGTAAAAGTTAGACACTAGTAACTACAAAATGGAAGAAAGGAAGAAAAAAACAAGACAAAGAAAAAATTGAAAATACTACAAAGTAAAATAAATAAATAAATAAAAAAAAATTAAAAAATTAAAGATAAAACTTATAAAAGAAATAAAACTTTAAAATAAAATGCTAAAAATAACGTAAAAAAAAAAAAAAAAAAAAAAATTTTAAAACACATGAGGCAACAGTATCACTGAGACACTGAATAGCATTCACCAACATCCTATTTTCTCACGACAGCAAAATGTACGATTTCGAGCGTGCTATTTAGACCCCGTCCACACTATGCCGGATAAATTTGAATCCGCAACTTTCACACCGAAACCGTAAAAAAATTTTCCGTCCACACATGAAAACGGATAAAATGTTTCGCGTCCACACTAGTCCGATCAGAGGCGGCAAAAACGCTTCATTGCACATTTGAGCATGTGCATCGAAGCTGAAATTGAGCCCGCGGTGAATTTTTAGTCTTCTCGCCATGTTTCCATGACAATCAGGACGTCATCGTATTCGAAAAATTTCGGATACGAAATGTTCTCCGTCCACACTAATACGGCCAGCTGGCGTTTTCAAATTGTTCCACTCTAGAGACCATATACGAAAAAATTCGTTGTCGGTGAAGAAATGTTCCGGATTCGCCCGGACTAGTGTGGACGGTAGGCCTAACCGAATAAATAAAAATTCGGATTCAAATTTATCCGGCATAGTGTGGACGGGGCCTTAAAAGAGCATTGTTAGCCTACCTATTGTACTGTCTTCGCTCTTTTTTACTCTTAGATTTTGTAAGCCTACACTACTGTAATCTCAAACTCTCCACGAACACCAGACAGCTGATCGGAGTGGAAAGATGCATCAATGTATCGCTTTCCTTTTTTCTTGGATTCCAGAATAACAGGAATTGACACCTCATCATTTGGTCCAATCGCTTTCCTGTGGGAAAAAATAGCAACTGCATCGTACGGCATTTACTCCATTAAACCCCCAACCTTTGATGAGCCCCCTTCTAATAAACCCCCAGTCCGAGAAGCCAAAAGTAACGAAAGCCCTCAGCGTCATAAGCCCCCGGCCATTAGGAACATCCTGGTCCTTTTCTCTTGGCTGGCCTTTGAAAGTCATGTTACCTGATCAGGTTCATTCAAAGGATGTGTCGACGGAAAAACCTCATACTTCGACGAAAACATGCGTTTGTCAACCTTATCTTAACCTTCATATGAAGGTCTCTTATGGCCTCTTGCTACTGGCGAAATTTTTTTTTATCGATTTTTAATTTGCTACAAGTTAAGAGGGGTAAAGTGTTTTTTAATTTTGTTATATTTAAATAAATTGTGTTACATTTACAACAAAACAAATCTTATGTTAAGCTTTGCATAACATTAATGACAGCGCCAGACTCACCTTATGCTTTTTGTGATAGAGCTTGGGATCATCCTGGAATTTTCAACGTTCAGATTGGCATTTGTTAACTTGATAGGCAGAGGATTGGTGAACTGGAATGAAACCTCGAACTCCTCGTTTTTCCCCACCTTATATGGGATCTAGAGGTAAAGTGATAAAATAATATGTTAATGTAAATAATATGTGAATAATATGTGAATAATAAATATTTTAATGTTAAATGGAAAAAGTACTTTTGGAAAGAAATATTTCATACAAGCGCTTCGCTTGTCTAGTACAGCTATTTCAAGGTTTTGTTGCATGTTGAATATTGCATGTCGCATGCTGCATATGGTATGTTGCATGTTGCATATAGCAAGTCGTATGTGGCATGTTGTTGCATAAGGCATGTCGTATGTTGCATGTCATATGTCGCATGTTGCATATGGTATGTTGCATATGGCATGTTGCATATAGCATGTCGTATGTTGCATATGGCATGTCGTATGTTGCATATGGCATGTCGTATGTTGCATATGGCATGTCGTATGTTGCATATGGCATGTCGTTTGTTGCATATGGCATGTTGCATATGGCATGTCGTATGTTGCATGTTGCATATGGCATGTCGTATGTTGCATGTTGCATATGGCATGTCGCATGTTGTATATGGCATGTCGTATGTTGCATGTTGCATATCGCATGTTGCATAACAGTCTCGAGCTGCATGCACTATGGGTATTATGAATACGATCACCGAAAGCTCAGAACAACAAAAAATATCCTAAACTTTGTTTGCACGTTTTACTGACATGATTTCGTCTGCATTTGCTGGCATGACTTACATATGAATATAATACATTTCTGAATACCTGTATTTGTATGGGGCGTGTTTCGTGGAATTTATATTTTTTCTGCATGAGGTACGAGGGTTCGAAATGGACAAAATATTATATAGGCCGATATTTTAAAGAGAGGGCTACAGAAAATAGGCGAGCAACATGAAATCAGCGGTAAGACTTTTGCGGCATGTTTTCGCCATTTTTTTTTCCATTTGGCACTTCAAAAAATATTTATACCTGTAAATATTAATGCTAGTCTGCATTTTGGGGATTCACAGGTGTGTCTATACTTACCATTGCTATGAGTTCAGGTTTGTTGAATTCAATGTCATCCATGTCACAAAACACCTGACCAGTCTCCTTGACTTTAGCTTTGAAGTAGGTTTTGATGCTTGCATCAGGAGCCATTTTGAGGTATTCATCAACAGAAATAGATAGAAGTACGGAGGTTTCTAAAAACGTAAGGTAAAGCCATAAATAATATCTATTCATTACATACCACAAGAAAATTGAACACGCATAATTGTGCGCAATACTCCTTTTTAAGGTTCCGTTTAGTAATCACGAATAATAGTTCTAAGTCGAGGCTGGAGTTTCCGCGCATAGCAAGACTATGCTTTTTATCAGGCGTGGCAACTCCAGACAGGACTTGGAACTATTAATTATTCATGGTCATTGAACGGAACTGTAAAAAAATAAAATAAAGTACATGGAAGTTCCACGATTTAATTGTCGCTATTTGCCGCAATTCAAAATTAAACAAACGAATCGACTTACCCTGTCCTCTTGCAAGAGTCACCACTTTATTAACATTCTTCAAGTCTCGAGTGGTAATACCCGTGTAGAAGGATATCTTGGTTACTATGGTAACCTGAACAGTCCTTCTTGCATTGGAGTCATTTTTTACAGACAACTCTATTTTAACGTCATCTCCTATCATTATGTTGTCACTGGTGAGTATTTCAAACGTGACATCACTGGAAGATGGCTCGGAATAAATTTCCTGATTTTTGCGTGAGCTGAATTTGTTAGCTAGTCGGACTGCCTCACGTTCTTGTGAGCTTTCTGTTGATTGATTTGGAAAATAATGTCAGTGGAGGTATGGTGGCGGTGGTAGTAAAAGTGCCTGTGACAGTAGTAGCAGCAGCAGCAGCAGCAATAGAAGTAGTAGTAGTAGCTAGTAGCAGTAGTGGTAGCAGTAGTAGTAGCAGTAGCATTAGAAGTAGTGGTGGTAGTGGTAGTAGTAGTAGCAGTAGCAGTAGCAGTAGAAGTAGTAGTAGTAGCTAGTAGCAGTATTGGTAGCAGTAGTAGTAGCAGTAGCATTAGAAGTAGTAGTAGTGGTAGTAGTGGTGGTAGCAGTAGCAGTAGCAGAAGTAATAGCAGTAGTATATAGTATAGCAGTTGTTCATTTGTCGTTGTTGTTGCTTTTGTCACTACAACAGTGTAGCAGACATAGCGGTATGATACTGATAGCCTTAATTACGTCAGTACTCCTAATGCCTCACCCTCCGGAAACTTGTAATACTTGGTCAGATCTTCTCTGTCATTGCTTCCAACGGCCTTGGTACTAATGTATTTTCCAATACTGCGTTTATCAATGTAAGACACTGTCATCTCTCCATCCTCATCAACATCCCAGTAGACTTTATCACCGTTGACTTCAGCAAACACGAAGCCTGTGTCAAATGGGAAGTAAACCTCGCCATTCTTGACGGCTTTGACAGGACAGGGTCCACACCTGAACACACCTGTTAATCATAGTGTTGATTTGCAGCTCATTAATGTTATATCGAAATGGTACTATGGATGGATTGCTCGAGAGACTGGCAATGGCTTCCTCGCTGGCGGAGTTTCTATTTTCCTTGGGTATTAATTAAGGGGAGAAAAATAGACTTTGGCAATGCTCTTTTACTCCGACGAAGGACTAGTGTCCGAAAAGTCAGTAAGTTTTTTCAACTTTTCACAGTGTATAATTTACCTTTATATCATTACTGTTTCATTAGAAACACCGACGCAGCTCACACTAGTTTTTAGCTTGTTATCTCTTCAATGTAGGTTGTTATATTTGTCGTAAATGCACGGGGTAACTTAGCAACGCTGTCAAAATCCTCCACAGGATTTTGACAGCCGCCATACGTCAAATTACATTCGCTCATGCTCATTACGTGTTTCCGGTTAAGAAACCGGTTTTTAAACTGGTTTTGGTTTCCACAATTGTGGACGACGGTATATCAAACAAAAGTTTGGTATATAAGTCTCCCACCTTAAGACGAGAGACCAGTAAAAAGAAAGGCAAAGAAGGCGTTTTTCAGTCTCAAAAGTCTACGCTGTATGTGTATCGGAAAATCATATTTATAACTAAATTTTACCTTCACTGGTTTCCTGTGGTGTGGCATCGTGTGCCTGCCAGCCATCATAGCCAGACGGAAGATCTGGACGAGTGAAATACGACTCGTTCCACACATGGAAGTTCCTAAAAATAAATGTTTAAAAGCATTAGAAAGACAAAACATTCAGGTCATTTCCGAGAGTTGGAATATAAAGGTGTGTTAATGAGGGCAGCATCGTGCTACTTCTTGTGCAACGTTATTTGTAACTTAGGATGAAAATGTCAGTCGCTTGTATCAGTCTGCGCAAAACAAATGTTTCATATACTTGCACGTACAAAGCAGAAGTCCTATCAAATTTGTTGCGCGAAGGAGTGGTAATACCATAATGCTCTGCTACTCACAAAGCAATAATGTAAAGTTTCGCGGCACGTTGAAAAATTTAGTTGGACCGTAAGCAAAACAATTTTCTTACCATACTGAATCATCGAGGTCATCTAGTGGCTTTCCTTCGGCATCATGGTGATAATCAATGGTCATGCTTTGGTCGTTGTCGTGTGCCGACGCAAAGTTAGTCACGCTACGAGTTGGGATCCCTATAGCACGAAGAACTGAGAGCAAAAACGATCAAAGTTAAAAGAAGAAAAGAAAAATAAAGAGAAAAAATATTGGGACTTTTGGAGCTTAGGCTAACGATATCTCTTTTTTTAATGCAGGAACGTTTAACTTGTGGGTGTATTTTTTTCTATTTCAGACCACGTTTTATTATTTTGAGAATAAGATTTTTTGTTTAAGTTTCATCCATATTCAGGTGTCTTCTTGTGCGTAACCATTAAACAAAGAGATGATACTCTAGGGAATGACATGTGCTCTGAAATGGGAAAATATTACGCCCAAAGTAAAGATATTTATATGTTCTCTTCAAAAGAATATTGGCCATAATTTCGAAACTTGACGTTATCAAATTAAAAAGATATATATTAGTTTCATGAATTCGCACATTAGCAATCCGATCCATTGGCTTACAGCATGATAAAGCAATGGAAAATCTTTGTCAAATAGCGCAGCGCACTGATTCTAAAAATAGCTCAAAGATTAGGACAAATAATGCATTCTGTTTAACCGCTACGAGGATTATACGAACCGATTTTATTATTTTTACTTAAAGTTACAATAATAACCCATGTAAACTAAGAGCAACTGCGATCGGCTGTGAAAATCATCTGCTGAAAGTAAACTTGTAAGTTTGTCCGAATTTCGCTTTTGTCTTCGTATTTATGACGTCACGGCTGCGCTGCGCTATTCCACTAAAAGTGCTGCTATGACAACGGTCAAGCAATACTAACGTGTGGTTACTAAGCCAGAGAACACCCAGCACTGTCCATATCGCACATATTGATATCGCTTTGTGAACTTCTTCAAAATGGTGACACTTCCGGTCCATTCTGTGGGCTCGGTGGAATTTTTTGGATAGGTCTCGGTCCAACGCCCAAAGAGTATGCCACCATCTTTATCGTTGTAATTAGCCTATAAAATGTGATACAAAATCAGTAAGTTCAGGTAATAACATGTATGTTTTAAAATACGCAGTATAATTGATGGAGCGATTTCAAGCAAGTTCCCTCGAACTTGCTAAAAAATTGTTCTAAGTCTGGGCTGAAAAACGGGGCACGGCTAGCTCACAGATCCAAACCTGAAACAACCTCTGAGCTGATCAAAGTGATGGCATGGGCTAACTCACAGATTGAACCATGAAACAACCTCTGGGCTGATCTAAGTCAGGGCATGGCTAACTCACTGGTTGAACCATGAAACAACCTCTGGGCTGATCTAAGTCATGGCACGGCTAGCTCACAGATTGAACCATGAAACAACCTCTGGGCTGATCTAAGTCAGGGTATGGCTAACTCACAAATCAAACCTTGAAACAATCTCGAGCTCTAGGCTGATTGACAGGGCACAGCTAACTCTCAGTTTGAAACCTTAAACAACCCCTTAGCCTATCAAAGTCACGACACGGCACGCCACGGCTAACTTAAAGATCGAATTGGAATTTGGAATCAAGGTATATATACCAATCAAACTCAACTCAAATGTAATGCCAAGTCTAGGAATCGAACACCAGACCCTGGAGGAGAGTGGCAAGTGCACTACCACCACAACACCACCCTTGGATCCCTGCTACGATTACTACTACGATTAGGAAACTCACCATTTGAGATATAGTACGGCAAACAAGGGTAGGATTTGCATGTGCAGAAGTACTGAGTTCTGCTATCTTTAATAGCTTTAAGCATGTTTCCAGTGAAACTTGATCAAACTTAATTGAAATAAATTAGAAAGAATATTTATTTATTCCTTTGAGCTTGTTATTTGTCAGTCACAGACATCATTATCATCATCAAACACCATTATCATTATTAACATCAATATCATCGATCATCGTCTTAAGACGCAATTACACGGAGCAATTTTCTTTGCAGCTTGTCTCGCAACGGCGTTGCGACAGAAGTTGCATGGATCATTTCACCGTGTAACCTACAGCGCAATTTCAAAACGTTTTGCGAGCAAGTTGCTGCAATGGTTATGAAAAGTAGAATTCGTTTCTACTTTTGGCAACGACAGACTCTCTGTTGCACCGTTAAAACACTCGTGCAACTTGTGTCGTAACGCTATTGCCTAACAAAATGCAGAGAAAACTGCTCATTGTAATCGCGCGTCAGTTGTCACATAGCCATCATCGTTATCATCATTATCTTGGCTAATATCATTATGGCCATTGTCGCCGTCACCATCGACAACCGCTATTATCATCGTCATCGTGATCACCATCATAACTTATACTACCGACAACAACACTAAACTTCAACTTCACTAAATACAAATATAATTTCATTGAGGGCCACAAGTTTTTAAGCCTTGTGGCTATTTCGACTTGCTACCTTCTATTAATTTTATATCGATATATTATAGCCACACTGACCTGGCCAAAGTTCCAAGGAATGCTTGTGAATCTTCTTTTGCTGCCAACCCAGATGCGCCCGCGATCATTCAGTACGTACTCTTTCCGTTCATCTTCTTTGCCCATGTAAACTGCGTCATCTTTTGGTTCGAAGATTGAAGACAGTGATTGATAAGTAAACAGGTCAGTAAAGTGAAGTGGAGAAAAGTTAAAGTTTGAATAGGGAATTTGGAATGATTACTGATGTAACATGGAAAGTGGAAGAGCAGAAAGGCGAAAAGAGACTAGAGAAGACGAGAGGAGCCAGACGAGACGAGGCCAGTTTGCGGAGATGAGAGCAGACCAAACCAGGGAGATGAGACAAGGGGGATTAGGCAAAAGGAAACAGGACCAGAAAAGGGACGAGAGAAGAAGAGACGAGACGAGAAAGAAGCAAGTCACTACCTTTACACCAGGCGTTGAACAATATGATGATTTTCTCATCACGCTTTTGTTTAAAGCTATGATGGTTCCCACCGTATCTATTGCTTCGTGTCTCCACAAACAATGAATACTCTCCAACAATGGCATCAGCAGGTGACATGACGGACATTTCCACAGTTGCTCCACGATGTTCTACTATGTGCATACCCCACGATGACGTGGAAAGGCTATTGCTGTTCTGCAATCGTATGATGGACTTCTTGCTCTGTTGGGGTCGAGGGCCTGTCGAGCAAATATTTAGCAATTATTTGCCAAAGGCGAAGTAGATATCGGGTCGGGGAATATTTACCGAGACGCGAGTGGCTTTAGCATATACCAACTTGTGTACAGAGTAACTTGTTTTTATATACAATAATTCAATGAAAACAAACAGAAACTTTGCACTTTTAGCAAAACTTTTAGCAAATTTTTTAGGCCATACTTCGTTGCCTTTTTGGTATTGATAGGAAAGGCATTTACTTTCATTTTTTCAATTTCCTCATCGGAAATTGCAGCAAAACGATTGCCGGCAGATGCCATTTTGTTGCCGACTGAATATTCCGAGAAACAATATTCACCTCCAATTATAAACCAATGAGTGCACGCGTTTATAGGAAGTACACAAGTTGGTATATGCTAAATAAAGATATTCAGTGGTTTTCTATCGTCGAGGTCATAATAGGGACTTTAAGATTCGCAAAATCTACGACGGTGACGTCAACCGGAAGTGTAAATAATTTCTTTTTGGGGTGCTGTTCATTGGAAATTTTATTCAAAACATTGTCAGTAAAGCCAACACATCCACAGGGAATACAGACTTTGAAGGCGCGAAACCCCAAAGTGAAGTTGTTTACACTTCCGGTAGACGTCGCCGTCGCAGATTTTGCAAATCTTAAAGTCCCTAATGATTCTTGGTTACGACTCACACATTCAATAGCAAACCAATCACGCAGCAGTTTTCCCATTGGAATAAAAATCTTGTCCCACAAACAACTACACAGTGTCTATTTTTAAGAGGTCAATACAGAATTGAAACAATTTGTAATCAAATTCTCGCGATCACAGTTTTAAATTTTAAGATATTCTAACAAATTCGTCGAGCTTGTGGGACTTAGCGACGGTAACTAAGGGGAGTCGAAAACAGGAATAGGGCTTTTAAGTTTTGACGTACTTCCGGGTCCAATCACGCGACAAGATTGCTAAAATCTTGCCACAACTAATTCCCAGGATTTATTCTCTACCTTCAACAATTAGATATATGAGCAGAAAATCCTTCTATGAAGAAAGAACACAGAAAAATTTATGTAAAAGTAAGTATTAATTCGGACCCGCAAGTCGTTTTTCGGTCGAATTACGTCACACTTAACTGCTCCTTATTTAAGTGTCATTGGTTTTTTTTTCTCTTTTTTTCTTTTTCTTTTTTCCCCTTTTTTATCTATTTTTTTTTCTCTACATCTCTGTTCATTCTACTCACCTGTAACGAACTGCAAGATTACTTTGTCTCGTGATTCATCAAAATTCCTGTCAAACGTCACGGATATCTTGAACACTTTTCCTCTTCGGACAATGAGATCCTCCATCTCATAGTCATCCGTGTAATGTTCCTCGCGGTTTTTGTCCACATGCAAGTCGACCTGAACAGGCTTGAGCTGCGAATCTGAAAGTCATTAACACAGGCTCGTGTCAGTTTCATCCTTTAGTGAAAACGCCAGTATCAGAAACCACAGGTATTTTTACTTAAAGCAGTGTAGGATGGGCTCGGAAATCATATAAGAACATGCGTAATAGCTAAAGTACAAGCCTGGTATGAAACGACTGATCGAGAGTGCCAATGGGCCTTTCACAACTTCAAGTCGTGTAAAATATAGGCTCGTTATTTACCTATTACACATGTATTTTTACTTAGTAGAAGATTAACTGGGATTATAATATTTTGATATATTGGAAAAATCCTTACTTAGCCTTCTCCCATTCGATGGTATAACATTTTTCATCACCTTCCCTTCCCTGGCCCTCCTCAAGTCTTTGCATAACCCTTGATACTTTCTTTTAATGTGATGCCCCCTAGGACCCAGTTTCCCAAACCTCATAAATTACCGACCCTGCCATTCACGACGAAATAACCAAGGTTCAGGTCCAAAAGACCATGGTCTCTTGGCAGGTCTTTGGGCTATCATAATAGTAACAGTCCATACCATTCATCTTTTTGCTGTTCGCATGCAAAACTTTCATATTTTCTTTGAAATCCTGATCCGTCATGACTTTGGTGCGACCTTCGACATTTTCACCAAGTTTTCCTCGCCTTGCTCTTCGGGAATCATTTCTGAAAGAATAATGTTTGCATGCATGGTCACTACTGACAACAATTAATGTTCTCTGAACCAATGTTGCTATTGGCATTTCCATATAAATGAAGGACTCTGGGCATATCCAACTGGCTTCGCTTACTCTGCCTTGGCACCAACCACCGACTGTGAACTGTGGACCACTACTGCCACTACCACTAACGACAATGATGATAACAACAACAGCTACTACTACCACCACCAACAACAAAATATCAACAACAGCTACCACTGCCACCACTACCACTACCACCAACAATAGTAAACAATTAATTTAAAAAATTGGATAGCAACAACAGCTACCACTTACACCACTACCACTACCACCAACAATAATAAACAATTAATTTAAAAAATTGGATAGCAACAACAGCTACCACTTACACCACTACCACTACCACCAACAATAATAAACAATTAGTTTAAAAAATTGGATAGCAACAACAGCTACCACTTACACCACTACCACTACCACCAACAATAATAAACAATTAATTTTAAAAATTGGATAGCAACAGCAGCTACCACTTACACCACTACCACTACCACCAACAATAATAAACAATTAATTTAAAAAATTGGATAGCAACAACAGCTACACTGGCTATTAATTGCTACACTTGTAAAGCAGCACCAACAGCTAACCACTCATTAATACTAATTTTTTTTTTTCCATTTTATAACAGAACAAGAGAAAAAAGTTTAGAAATTGTTTCAGTGATTAATTGGTTTCTTTTTTCACACAACTTCAAGTGTGCTACATGTCATGATAATGTCACAAGAGCGTTTTTATGGAATTGCAATAAAAACAACTGATTCGTTCACAAAATCAACTTACTCAGGCGATTCGGCTCGCCTTCGCTTTGGCCTGCAAGAAAACAAAAGAAAATCACATTAAACATATTTGAATACGGTACCCACAACTAAATACCTAACCTTGCTAATTATCTGTCCAGCATAAACAATCGTGATGGGGAGCTAGGGTAGCGGAAGTTGAAGGAACGTCTTTAAATAGTGTCACGCGATTGACCTTTACGAATAATTTTTTTCGATCGACTTAAAAAACATTAACTTTATTGAAATTATTGAATAAAAGAATAGCAATTTGACCCGTTACTATTTATTAAATTCAAATAATTTCGTGCTTTCTTTTCATTAATATTCAACTCGAACAATTGAGTATTGTGTTACTAGTTTAATGTTCAAGAGCAGGTACAAAAAACCACACACACAGGGAAGAAATAATAACATTAAAATAGCAATTCTAAAAATCGAACTAGTAGCGAACATATTCCGACATCAATGACTTGTAATTGTAAATCTGTTTTTCAGAAGTGATTTGATTGTTTGTTTTTTTCTTACTGGATCGCTTATCGAGGTCAACCTTGTTTTTTTTTTTTCTTGGAATTCAAAAGGTTTCCAAGAATGGCTTGCTCAGCTCATTAGAATATTAGGCGCGTAATTATTATGCTTGAAAACAATTGAAACTTCTTAAGAATTAAACTTAATTCCTGGTCGTCACAACATCAAGCTGCCTGAACCTATAAAGGCCATCTTTTCCAAGAAGAAWGAAAAATCTACAACCGTTCCCCGAAAAATTAGACAATTTGCACAATAGTTTAACGAGATTTTCGCGCTCAACGGCCCATATGCTTAAGCCCCAACACAAGTAAAACTAAAACAAAAACATGTTGATAAGATAAAAAAAAATGAATGTAATTAATAAAAAGGCTATTGTTCCAGCTTAATCTACCCTATGTACTCTGTTATCGAAGAAATTACCCTTAAATTAGCTTAGACCAGGTCAAATTTCTATTAAATTTTAGATTAACCAAGAGTAATTCATGTAATGGAGGGACTCGTAATGCACTTTTACATATAATAAAGTCTTGTTGGCTTTTCAGTAAGCTTACAGGTGTCTTGCTAGTGAAACAATATATTCTGATTAATTCGGATCAAGATATCTTCAGTTGTCTTCGAGAATCAAGGGCTTGTTTAGAATTCTTGTAGTGCATAAATATGATATTACTATCTCCGCATACAATACTCACGGTGATGGTTCCATCCCACTGCCAGAGGATCTCCTAGTAGTTCTTGGTGAGTTGCTGGCAATCCTTGTAGAATTAGCAGCAGTGTTTCCTCTGGTCCTTCGTGAACTTCTAGGCATTTTAAACAACTACGACTCAAAGTTTATAACCACTCTTGAAGATCAGAAGAGATTATTATCTTAATACCGTCTGGCTAATAACGTGGTTATGGTAATGTCTTCGCGTGCAAACCTTATAGACGGCTCGTTCCAGACTCCACAAATTATCTATCCGTTCATGCATAATGCATTACCTTAGGGAGGGTTCATAACTTATCAAGAGGGGGGCTATGATGATTTTGAGGGGGGCATTATTTTTCCCTTATCCAAGTTAGGGTGGCCAGCGAAAATTTGACCATATATAAAACAAAGTATAAGGGGCGCCCAGCAATTTTTTTCCTGAAACATTTTTATGAAAAAATGTTACTTAGAATCCTGGATTTTAATAATAACAGATTTTAAAACTACTTGAAACTGAGAATAATTACTTGTTGGGACATCTTATTTGGAAAAATGTCATTGGACAAATGTTTAACACAACATTAAATTAGGAAATACAAAACTAGGAGCGTCTCGTCCACATCTTGTGGTGCATTGTTTTGTTTCGTTTTTGTCTTTTTGCTGGCAATGGTTCAAATTGCTCGTCACTATCTTCACTTTCACTTATTTCCAAACTGTCGCTGTCACTGTCACTATCACTGCTCCATGTTTCTCCCAAGACAGTTTCGTTACTATTATATCACTTTCAGACGGGTTCTCGAGCTTCTAAAAGACGTTTGCCTCGAACTGATATTGTTGCCAATGCATGCCTGACCCCCTTGTTTTTTTGTAGATGAAAGCTTATTAGCTCAAATTTTTTTTTGTCCTTTTTCAACTTTTTCTTCCATGGAAGAGAGTGTTTTTTCAAGTAAGTGTCCAGTTCAGAAACATGAAATACTTACGAGTATTGTTATAATAATTTATGTTTGAATAGATTAAATGTAGGTAGTGGTCCTAACTAATAAATTTAAGAGTCAATAAAATGTTAGGGCCATTATTTATTGATAGTATATTATACTGGTGAAGAAGAAAGTAGCTTTGTGATAAACGAAGACAAAAAAAACCTGTATATATATATTGCTAACATAAAGTCACATATACATATAACTGAAGTGTCTAAAATGTTGACAGATTGATGATTATAATTTATTGTGTCAAACTAACAAGTCAATCTTCCTTTTTCTTGATGCCAGTTGTTTTTATTAAAGCTTTATTCAGTTTAATAGCATCATGTTATTATTAGGAAACCATGTTTAACTGAAGCAATATTTTTTTAAAGCTCCAATAGACGACTTTCATAACTCAGTTTTTTCAGATAGAGAAAATGAAGCCTTTTAACCAGAAACTATTAATGCTATATCTGAGAAAATACTTCACGAAAACTATTTCCAGAAAATTTTGTAGAATTTGACTGCAAACCAAAGAAGTTATGAAAGAACGAAAATAGAGAGTTTTGTATGTATTTATCACTGGAAGCCTTGGTGGCCTCGTTTTGGTGTATTTTCAAAACTTCAAATGCTGACACATCTTGTAAAGGATTTATTAATTTAAGTAGGAACTCACACGCCTTATCTAAATCAACAAGATCTATGATTTAAAAGGGTTTTCACTCCAAAAACATTGATTTTTAATGTTTATGCGAATTAGCAGCAGCCAGTTATGAAAGTCGTGTATATTATTCTTCAAATGTAGATTTTAAGATCAAAAATTGAACTTATATGGTAGGTTGGTCATGCCATGAGGGGCGGGGGGCACGATATTTTCCCTTTTTCCCTTGAGTAATTAAAATCTCTTGAGGGGGGCCAAATTTTTTCCCCATAGATTATCAGGGGGGCTTTAAAAAATAACAAAAGTCATCATAGACCCCCCTCTAGATAAATTATGAACACTCCCTTATTACATGAAATTTTCGCCTTAATTTCGCGATTTTGCAACAAAAAACAAAAAACAAACAAATAAACAAACAAACAAAAACCCTTAAGTCACTTTAATTTCACGATTTCGTAGAATAAGTTATTCATTACCTGTTTTAATTCAAACACACAGTTTCCTTTTTTGTTGATCAAAAAACGACTTTATTAAGTAACTGAATAAAGCACAACAAGATGCAACGAGATCTAGATACATGTTCTAAAGAAGCTTGAAGTGACAGTAATGAGGAACAAAAGATTGTCTCGGATTAGTTTTATTCTTATTTGTAACCGTGCTAAAGCTCATACTTTTTCGCTTCAATTAATTTCGCGATGTTTTGAAAATAGCGAATTAAAATGTTGCGAACCCATTAATGTAATACAGTGGCGGATCCAGGGGGGGGAGGGGGGGTCGAAGGGGTTCACGGAACCCCCCTTGAAGGTTTGATCTTTTAGGTAATAGAAATATGTCATTTATCAAAAGGGGGGAGGGCTGGTGCAAATAGAGGGAGAAGGCAAATAGATTTTATGCAACTTTTAGGGGGCCATTATTATTATTATTCTTTATTTATTTACTTATTTATTCGTTCGTTCGTTCGTTCGTTCGTTTGTTTATTTGTTTGTTTGCTTGTTTGTTTGTTTGTTCTTTTTTTTGCACATGACTGTTAATTTAGTGTTAGTTATACAGAGGTTCGCCTCAGAGATGCAGAAMTTGCTCGCATTCATTTATACAGTGTTAACCGGATCCACCGTGCTCCAGGGGACTTTGCTCAAAACGAATTCCTTCCTTCCTTCGGGTCGTTCGGTCGTTCTTCCTTCGGTCGTTCGGTCGTTCTTC